TCCTGCTTACCTCCTCTGGTGGCATTAAGTTCCAAAGGTTAACTACTTACTTACCTCTTTTAAACTAACCTCCTGCTATTTTCACTACATGCTCCCTTACTTGAGGGGTCGTTTGGGGATTTGGTGAATAACAGTTTTACATTCCTTACCCACCTCCTTCATAACTCTTTAAATTTCAACCATATCCCTCTTCCACTTTCTTCCCTCCGAAGAGTTTTAGCCTTGATCTTTCCTCATATGGTAGCAACACTGTTCTCTTAAATGAGTTGTTCTCTAAAACCTTCTACAGCACCACTCTATTTTCCCTTCAGATATAAGGACAAAAACTACACGCATTACTCATAAAACATGGGCACACCCAAGTTTCTGTAGTGGCTAAATAACATCCTTGGTCTAGGGCCCCTCCTGAAGTTCATGCAAGTTTTATAAGCTTTTGGCTGCCCCTTGCACACTGATCTTCAGAGTCCTTGTGCTGCAAAGCATAGACTGAAGTTTTTCTGAGGAAGGTGTTTTTCTGTACAGTAAGGACCTAGAATAAACAGATAAGGAAAGAGAGAAAATGAGGCAGTAGCATTTATACAACTTAAAATTGGCAATTACAATTTTCTGGCTAAATGCATACTGAAAGGAGTATTTTAGCAAAATTTTTCTTCCTGGATTTTGCCAGGCCATTGCACACAAAGGTAATAGTTCTATCTCTTCAGGCAGTTGTAACAGTAAAGTAAAAAAGGTTGTTGAATAGGGATCTGATTTGAGTTGAGAGCTGACTGGTTTCTATTAATAACAGAAAAATGTCTACTTAAAGGCTGAAGAGGAGGATAGGATCTTCTGCTGAAGGATAGTTTCAGTATCGGTTGGGTTTATTTGTTCTTGCAGTGTTGGCAAATTACTTAGTTCATAGAGACAACCATATAAAAAATTTGCAGCTTGAGACTTACGACTTCCGTAGTACTGTGGCCCCTGGTTTTGTACTCTTTCCACAGTTGTCAGAGATGGCTGTTCTTCAGCTTCATTTTTTCCTCTTGGTGTATTTATATAGGAGCTTAATGTACGTCAAGTGACATTATCTACTAATAAAGATAAATACGGAGTCCGGTTGAGAGCAGAACCCGATCACATGGTGCTTGGGAAGCGTTTGAAAGGTGCATTTAAGCTTGTCATGGCTGCAATCAAAGAGCTGAAGAGTGAGCAGCTGGAGGAATTCCAGGAGACAGGTACGTAGTGGTACAAACCTCTGAACGATGGCAATGTTGACCAGAAAAAGAAGATCCAAAATCCTTTGGCTCATCAGAAAAAAATTAAGCAATTGCCCTTGATTTGTGTATATTAATCAAGCATTTGCAGGAACAGATGCAAGAGTGTCCTTTTGTGGGCTTAGGGAAACTTAAGGCCTACTTCCCAGTTATTATCCCTATTAAATTTTATCTTATTGAGAATAGGACAAAAATTGTTTTTATTATTTTGCTGACAGTAGATTAGAAGTGGCCGTGTATACTAATCTTACACCGTTCTCCTGTTTAAGTGCTATTGTAAGGCAAAAATGAAGTAGAGAGTAAACTGTTCTGTAAGACTGAATCAAATTTGAACTATGTGCAATAATTTATATTCTAAAAGCATTGCTTCAGTTCCAGATTTACTGGTGGGTGTGAAGTTTCCAGCTATATCTGTTCAGTTAACTGCTTGAATGTGAATTTCGATTTAGTTGAAAGTATACAGGTTACTTCTAAGTTTTATTCCGTTTCATTCAAATGGTGCACAAACAGATGCTGAAGCGTCTGCGTTTGAGTGAGTTCTGCTGCCTGTTGACATGCTTGTATGGAAAATCTGAACGTGGGATAGTTCAGTGTTTCTTACTAGTGCTTAACTGCTGTTTAAATGTATTGCAAATATATTGCATTTCATGTATTTGAAGATTGATCTTAAGCTTATTGAATTAAAAATTTTTTTTTTCGCTCTGATTGTAAGAGATGCTCTTCATCTGCCAATTCTGCAGGCACCATTGTTGTAGAAGGACATGAACTCCATGAGGAAGATCTTCGTCTCATGTATACCTTTGATCAGATTGCAGGAGGATCTGCCCAGTTTGAGGCACATTCCGATGCTCAGGTATTTTATTGGTTATTTCTTACTTTTTTTGATTTAAGAGAGAGTTTCTGTTGAAGTAATATGAAAATGGTGAGGTGAAAGCTGGGGTGGTTTTGTTTGTTCAGTTAGTTCAACAAATTCCAGGAGCCTATCTTCTGAATTTTGGAGATGTTAAAGTACTCCCTTCAACAAGGTATTTTGTAAGTGAGGAGCTCTATAAAAATGTACCTGAGCTTCTGAGTGAGTCAGTACTAGCTTGTTTCAAGTTTGTTACCTATTCGCCTGTCTTCTGTGCATCACCTCAGGTTTTAGTTCTGCTAGATGTTACCCCAGACCAGTCCATGGTGGATGAAGGAGTTGCCCGGGAAGTGATTAATCGCATCCAGAAGCTTCGCAAAAAGGTAAGGCAGCAATGGTTTGGAACAAGACATTTTAATTTACTTTTAAGCAATCTTTGGGCAATATGCAGCAGAAGCTGACCTTTGTAATTAAGCACGAAGCCCTGTATCATTTACTGCTAATATATAGCTTTCTGATCGGACATAAATGATTACAAATAACTATTTTCATTTTTAATTTCCATATTACTAGGTAGCTAGAGTTGAACAATGAGCTTGCTACACATCATCCACAGTGAATTAACTTATTTATTTATTTATTTTACTGAGCCCCTCTTGTTTTCTGGCTTCAGCCACATAGCAATGGTTCGGTCCCGGTAACGCAGCTCTCGGGCCGGCCTGCCTCCTGCCGAGTATTACATTCTGTTCTGTCTCAGTTCTGGTCCCTTCAGCTGGGCTGGAGAGAGCCGAGACATCTGAGCCTAGGACTGCTAAAAGAAACAAACTCATGTCTTCGCAAATTGCAGGAGGCATTTCTGGCACCGATTTGTATACCTACATTAATGATTCTGCTCTGAATTGTTCTCATCATACATACAAATGATGCTGAACTTACGTTAAAGCACTTTGAACCAATGCAACTTCCTTTTTTCTACAATACTAATCCAGAAGGAGCTGCACTCAGTAACTCCATTTTGTGTCAAGAAAGCATGGTCACCATGGAGGTGATGATAAGTTGAAAAAGCCTTTAATCTGAAAGGACGTTAAGTAATATTTAACTTGGTACAGAGAATTCTAAAGGTTTCAGAACCTGCAAGTTTAAAAAAAAAAAACACAAACCAAAACAATCCCCTGTCCCTTCATGCACATATGCATTGCAAACATGGAGCGTTGTTCTATGGTATATGTAGGGTTTTCCTACTTGACTAACTTGGTGGCAATGTGCTAGAATTTGCATCTTTTTCAGATTTATGCCTGAAGAAATCTTGCAAGAGCTCTGAATGATGTGTAGAGAAAATTTTCATGGGACATGCTTTTGGGAAAAGATATCTGTACAGTTAAGACTGCGTGAATCTTCAGAATAAGACTGAAAAATGACAAATTTGTACATATATAT